GTTATGTTTTAGAGCTCAGTGTGAAATGAGTGAGAAGGAAATGTGGATAAATATTTGTCCAACTCTGAGGAGAAGGACTTAGTCTCAAGGTAATAGAAGAAAGCAGCAAGGAAAAGACTTGTGAGTTTAACTCATAAAAAAAATATAAACCTTAGAAATAATATCATCAAGAAAGTGAGAAGGCAAGAATAGGAGAAAATGTTTGCAAATCATTTGTCTGATAAAGGACCTGTATACAGAATATATAAACAGATGGGCAATCTACTGTTAACTCATCTTTCCTGGAATGCAAGGTGGTAGAATATTTCCAGAGCATCAAAACGATTTGCCCCCTTTGATTCAAAGGTTTTGTTTCCACGAGGAAATAATTATATTTTTAGAAAATAGAAGTTTGAATTATTCTCTGCAAAAACTTCTATGCAGATAGGTACCGTAAACTTACTTGCAGTGGAGTTTGGCTAAATGTATTTTATTAGTTGCCAGATGATGAAAGACTCTGTAGCTCCTAAGAATTATATTTCCAAAGAATTTTTAGTGACCTAAAAACACATAATGCTAAACGAAAACAAGAAATGCAATGTTAAACCAATAAAAAATGTTAAAAAAAAAAGAAATACAGTGTTAGAAATAGCAAATGATCCCAGTTACAGTTTTAAAAAAAAGTATCCATAGGAAAAAAAGTCTATTAACAGTTGTTTTCTCTAATTCTGAGATTTGGATTTCATTATCTTTATTTTCTAATTTACAAAAAAAAAAAAGGTTTGAAAGCAAACTTGGCATGAATAAAATTTTGGTAAAAGTAATTAGGTATCCTATGGGAGCCCCCTTTAAACCAAACATAAAATCCTGCGATGAGACCTTTAGTAGAGCAGGTTGTATTTCTCAAAGGTCTGTGCATTTGTGTTTAGCTTTTCTCAGTTTACTGTTCCTGCACACTGGACTATTGGACCACCTCCCCTTTATCGAACACCTGGGCTTTGGCGTTCGGTCTGGTCTATATCTCACCCCGACCTTCAACCTGGCCCCCATCATTCTGGTTGTGTCACCTGGATTGAATCACTTAGCCACTCTGAGTCTGTTTCCTCCTCTGAAAAATGCACGTAGTGATTCCTGTCTCAGAAGGTTGATGTCAGACTGTGTGCTGCTTATAAAGCATTATCGTGTAGTAGGCACTTAACGCCTTTGTCTAAAGCCTTCCAGTGTGCTCAGTCAGTGCGAGAGCTGCACTCAGTCTGCTTTGTGAAGATGTTACCACTCTTCTTCATTCAGCATGTATTTACTGAGCAGCTACTGTGTGCAGGCTCCGTGCTAAGTGCTGAGCCGCAGCGGTGAGAAAGTCAGGCACAGATTCTGCCCTCTGGAGCTCCCAGTGCGTCTGAGGAAACAGACGTTAAATCGTCACTTCG